AAACCATACAATATTTTTGACAACAATAATGGTCATTATAGCGACGAAACAAATGCCAGTGATAATGATATAATAGTCATGTGTATCTTGATAAAAAAAATAAAGATACTGATGTTCGGCTAAAAATGAGTTAGAGAGACGAACGAGAAAAAATTGAATACAGAATAAAAATATTTTTGTGATGCACATATTTGTCCGTCCCATGTGAGATACGAAGCATCTGAAAGAGAATGGGAGGGGTAATGTTGGACATTTCTAGGAATTGGCTCATCTGATAAAGAATCATGGTGGAAAGGACAAAAAACGAGAGTACCATCAATGGCGGTGTGTACCCGATCACAAAAAAAAAGTTAAAACTCAAATTTTAAAAGCCTATTTCCAAAGCACATGGACTTAAACAACTGGCGTATTTTAAACTTCCTACTTAACAATTTGACCCTGTGTTAAGTCCAATAAAATTTTATAAAAAGTCGGTATTTTAATGGCTGTTTAAAGGCAAGTGACTCTTCCATATGAATGTGCGGCCGTGGTGTAATTGATAGTAGCTCAGAACAAGAAATCGGACACGCGATTTCGAATTCCAGTAGAGTTCGTTAGATTCATTTAAATGCAAATAATATTGGGAAATGTATTAATTGATCTCTTCACCGCACTCCAGCTTTGGTTTAAATAACTGGCCTCTATAGGCTTGGCTGGCAACGAATCTGGGAGAAGTACAACACTGAATTCAAACTAGGTTGGAGAGTTTTGAGCTCTGCCAGGCAATCACAATAACGCTAACACGACTGCAGTATATATGGTGCCCCTACGACTCCAGTGGCTTGCGTTACTCGTGATCATGAGGCTCTTCCAACTTGGTAAATTGGCGAAATCTTCTCAAAAGTTTTCTGTGAGTAAATATCAAATATATGTTCGCTGCATTAACAATATATATAATAAATCATTTACATAAATATCAAATATATATAAATAATTTATTTACATACACACACACATATATGATAAAATATAATTTTAAAGTATGCTATATTTATGGGTTAAAGTGCACAACGTCATGGTTAGAGCGTTTAGCATGAAACAGGCTGTCGCCTCTAGCTGTTGCTTTCAATGTCTACTTATTATATATATATATATATATATATATATATATATAAGTTTAAGTGGTATTTGTGCTGAGAGAATGTATATATTTACTAGTTTGCCATACCCAAGATATCGTTAAGGAATTGCACTAAAGAAAAAGAAATAAAGAATATATTAAAGGAAAAAGAAACAAATAGATGAGAATTGAAAACTGAGGAAAGAAGATCTAAAATTACAATGATTTAACGTATGCCATTTTAAAAGTTTGGGGATGACTAGTAAAAACAAAAAGTAATCGTAGTACCACTGATCGCTGGAGTACTAGGGTTTTGTAATAAAATATGAGAAAAAAAATGCCGGCTTAGAACAGCAAGGGTACTTCGAGAAGTGTTGGATATCACCTGTCAGTGAAAAGAACAAATGTCCGGTTTATTTCCTCAAGTAACAAGAGATAACCTGGAAATAAACTTCCTACGAGCAAGCAACATCCTATCATGTGCAAAAGCGAAACAATAGTACAAGTATTCGTTCAAAGAGAGTCACTTCAACAATTAGAGTCATAATAAAAAGAGTAATGATAACGAAAGTGACACGCGTCAAATAATGGTGGAGGATGAAGATTATGTTATTCGAATGTTTTCGAAAACTGAATAAACAAGACTTGTTGTCACAAAGAGCAGGCGGCTTTTCGACACGATATACCGAGACGTTTGGCATGCATATATGTGTGTGTGAGTTTATCGGTCTGGCGATGGTACATTAGACGAAACAATTTACAGAAACTACGTATATATAGAACATGACTTTGCCGTTTGTTATTCTATATACATATAAAACGTCGAGAACAATACAGCTGCTGATGAATTTTGCATAATATCATAGTAGCAAGAGATTTTTTTGTTGTTAATCAGGTTTTATAGAATTCTGTTCCGTCTTTTTTCTGTTTTCAATTTTGTTCATGCCATCTCCCGGCGTCGTCGTCGAAGCCGCCTAAACCGATAAATCTGTAAATAAGTACATAAATAACAACACATACACACAAACTCAAGAACCAGACTGTCAGCAGATATATAAAAGAAATGAAATTTTCGTTTCATTTTTCTCTGTTCCACCTTTTGGAATGAATATTCATATGACAATGGCGGGCTTTCTTATAGTGAAAGTGAAAAGATGCGAATCTTAAATTGCATCCACTACAAGTTGTGCCACGGTTAAAAAAAAATAAAATAAAAGAAGAAAAATTAAAAATAATACAATAAAAAGAGTTAAACGAAAAACGGAAAATGCAGAGAAAGAAATAAAAAAAGCACACAATAGAAACTATCGAAAAAGTGAAACCTTCTCCTTCATTCAGAGACAAGCAAAAGAAAACAAAGGCAAACTTTTATATAAACAATAACAATCTAATGGAAAAAAGGCCAGCAAACACATTCTTTTCAAAGAATAACGCAAAAGAGTTATTAAAAAAGAAACTAAAACCAAAAGGTAAAACGGAACGAAAGTCTAAGACATCTCAAGCAATAGATTGTGTAAATTGAAAAATATACATTCCAATATTTTTCGATTCCCCAGACGTTCTTCCATTTTGTTGGCTTACGTCCAAAGTTTTTGTCAATGCTCCTGACGCCATTGTTGTTGTCTTTTAGTTTTTCACTTTCGTTAGAAATTTTTAATTGATTACTATTCCTGCTTTCGTATTCAGCCGAGTTTTGAGTTTTGTACGATTTGAAAGCGAGAAGTATTTCTTGACTTCTTGTTTGTTTCATTTTGTATTAGCAAGAGTAGCAATAGAAACGAAAAGGCGACAACGTGTCAAAGTTTCGAATTTAGTTTTATGCTAGCAGTGAAATCTTTTTTTTTTTTAAATTCGTTGTCTTTTGTGCAAAATACGTATATGCTTTTAGATAACATGCTGTCTTCCTCTTTTGTTAGTCTTTATCTCAGAAATGGTCGTTAGAAACAAACCATATGGTTTAATGTCCTACTGAAAGTCATACGTTGGATAACCCCGTCTTAAACGTGGGGCTTTATTTAGTTTGTGATTCAGGCAAGAAAATATTTGATTATAATTTAATGTCAATAAAGATGCTTTGTTCCAAAACATGCGGTTACCCTCAATATGTACTAAACTCAATCTAAGAGACACCAAAATAAACTTTTGCAATCAATGTCACATCAGTGATATCAGATACATCAAAGAGCTGACCTGACAAACGTAGCAACAGAAATGAAAAGTTGACAACACGTAAAAGTTTCGAATTTGGTTTATTCTGGTTCAGATATCTATTTTTAAATTCAATGTCTATTTCAGAAATTCTCATTAAAAACAGGCTGTGGTTTAATGTCCTACTTCAATGAATACGTTGGATAATGTCTTAAAATTGCGTAGTGTCATTTCAGAATAGAATTTGCATTCAATACTACATCAGTCCAGCAAGGGACCCCTGTTACAGTTTTTTGTGTATATTTACGTATATATATATATATATATATATATATATATATATATATTAACTAGTGAGTTGGTCCAAATGCCTTGACTCGCTTTATAGTCTACCAATAGAAGGTTAACCAATCAGAAGACGCAGAACATTCTATCCGTCGTGTATAAAGGCGGCCATTTTTATTTACCCTACCCGAATGACTAGTGCCTACTTGTCAGGCGAAGAGGACAGAAGGAAGTACTACGCTCTGCTACTTTGCTGCGATATCCACTGCTAACCTGAACTACGCTTTCCTACTGTCTCCGAAATATTCACTGCTAACCTCTGGATTCTATACTCGAAGACGACCGTCACAAAATGTCTAACAACCCCAGCGTAGAGCTTACCTACACTTGGCTACCAGGTGCAGAATCATACGACTTCACACCTTTACTCGGTTTTACAAGCATGGGAATAGGTTGCATAAAAGGGACAAATATAGAAACAAACACCAAAAAGAAAACTTTGGCAGTCTCCTAGACACCACAGACGAGAATATAAGGTACACGTATTCGACGAAGGACTGAGGTAGCCATGCACACATATAAACTAGCTGACAGAAATTGACGAATGACAGAGTTGAATAAAATGTTATGTTAAACAAGAGAGATCAAGTGTTATTCATTATTGTTCATATTTTTTTCATTTACGGTATTTATTTGAATATAGTGAGAGTTTTCATATTTTATGCTAAAATAGATTTTAAAAATCATGTAGTTTCTGTGACCAGTTGCACTATAAGTATGTAGCGGGGTTAAAAATTAACGCCAAACACTTCGGGTGTCACACTATACACGAATCGGCTTATGCACGAGTATGTACGGTAGTCAACAGAATTATTTCATTATACTTGGAACTTCATGTAAATATGCGATCCATGACAGAAAATAACAGATGGTATTTGATATTAATAAAAAAAAACATCTGTTCTAAAAGAAGTTGATAGATATTGGCCTCACCCTAAGAGATACCAGAGTAGTTATTGCCCTCCTACATCAGAGGATAAACCTGGAAGGTAACCTCATAGCCATCAGGTGAAGATTCGTACATCCCTGCTTGTCAGAGACTGTTCCCGACATGTAAAGGAAGTATCTTGAGAATAGCATGGACGGAATATGACAGCAA